AAGAGGTGATGGTTATCTTCAGATGGATTGCGCCCGTGAATCTTTCGCATTTGCAACATATAAACCAAAATCAGAAAGGAAAGTTAAAAAGTTTGTTCATTCGTTATATAATAATGTTCAAAAATATGATAACTCAGTATGTGGTAAATATATTGACCCTTCAGAAGTTTTCAAGAACGCAAATGAAGAAGTTGATGTCACTTTTGATATGATTATTCCGGTAAATGATTTGTTAGCATTTCAGGCGTTCGATGATTATCCTAAATCATTTGGTGATATCATTCTTAAATATTATGTTTTCAGGGATACTTTAGTATTTTGTCAGGTTGACCCGTTAAGAGTTGCTGATTTACAAAATTACGTTTATGAAAAGATAACTGATGAAAATTATGAAAAGATTATGAATCATGTTTATAAATATGATCGCAAATTCCAACAAATCGGACTTCCTGCCAAATTAATTACAAGCTTAGCCGCTACATCTGCTGACGCAACAGTTGATGACGTTATTATTTCATGCACAAAGATGGAAGTTTTAGAGGATAAATGCATTACACCAGGATACGGTTTAATTGAAGAATCAGTTAAAGCAATACCACGTTTATTCAGTAAGGAAGATCCATTCATGATTCCAGCTCAACATATTGACGTTCGTTCACTAAATGGAGGTTGCATCACTCCTGAAGGTATTAGCTCAGATTTCTCATACGCTCTTCATAATGTTACAGATGTTGTGTTAACATTTCCGAAGAATGCAATGCAAAGAACAGTTTTAGAAAATCCAATGCTTCGAGGTCTTCAGGTCACTATAGATTCCAGAAACTTCCCCGATCAAGCGATGACCACAGTGGGCGACATATTCTTTACACGTATGCTTCAAGCTTCTGATTTAGATGGAGTGATGAATGCACAGAAGAATACGAGGACTCATTAACTAGACCACTGAATGATGATGATGGCACGCCATTAGCTAGAACATGGAAAGACCAAACTTCATTCTTATGCACTATTCCAGTTCAACGTGATGGAGCGGGTATATTCTTTGATGGATTAGAAACTTTCAACTCACAAGTTACAGTACAAGTGAAAGCTTATCCAATCATTCAGGGTGAAAATGACACTTACTGTTCAAAGGTGACAAATCCTCCTCAGGTTTGGTTTACTAGGACTACGTATTGGACATGGACACCGGATGAAGGTTTGAAATATCATCCAACAGGTACACCACCACAGTATAGAAGTTCATATTGAAATATTGATTAATAGAAATGTTTAAAATTATAAATTTTATTTTTGATTAAATGGATTTAAATTCATCCACCCCTTATGAAGAATTAGCAGGAGTATATAATACATACATAGATGATATGATTAATGAAGCATTGAGTGATAATAGAAATGCTCTATCTAAGGAAAAATTAATTGAAAATTCCATATTCTGAATGTTATTTAAATTCAATCACTGCAGCAATTGGTAAACAGAATAAAGGTAAAACATTAACGATATTAAAACAAATTATTCATTATTGCTAACACTTCCCCCTATTCACATGTGTTAATTTATATCAACCGTTCAGGTTCACCTTCAGATGATACATTTGAATCTTTAAAGCATTTAATCAAAATTCCAATTATTTATTTATCACAAGAAGAAGCAGAAGATTATTTAAAAAACTTAATGTATAAAGAATTATATAATACAATCAAGAAGCAAGGATTAGAGGATAAAATTATTGATAAACAACGGGATGAATTATTTGAAACACTTTCTATTTCAAATTTTGATAGAGAATTTTTGCATTCACTCATTTTTCTAGATGATGCAGTGAAATCAAAACTAATAACAAATGAGAAATCATATTTTAATCAGTTATTAACTCAATGTCGACACATTCAGTGTTCATTCTTTATGGCTGTTCAATATTCAAAGCATTAAGCACAAACATTAAATCAAATCTATCAACACTTTTCATTTTCAGTGGGTTTAGTCGTCAACAGTTGAACGTTATGCTTTATCAAGTGAATTTACCAATGAGCATTAATGAACTTTACACACAATATCAGCAATTAGGTGAACATGGAAAAATAATAGTTGATTTAAATAAAGGAAGTGTTAAATTTGATTAACTTTTTATAATTAATTTTTATTTTTTATTTATAATTAAACATGACAGAAATAGCAAATCTTCTACAGGTTCCATTAAAACAAGGAACAAACAAAAAGGGTGCATATAATAGAACTATGAAAGTTCCTGATGGAATGAAAGAATTAGTTCATATTGTTGCTGGTCTTCAAAAAGATGTTAAACAAATGAGAAACGTTTTAACATTACCAGAAGCTCAAGCATATGCCAAACGTCAAGGTCCAAATTGGGAAGCACACGAAGCAGACATTACGGGTCCAAATGGAAAACCTGATGGTATAAATGAAGTTTTCGTTTACTGATGGGTCAAGGTAATATTAAAGTCATAAATGGTTACAAATTAACTATAACTGATTATCCTAAACGTAAAGCATATAATGAACGTTATCCTATGCAATTTGATGAAAATGGAAAAGCTGTTAAACAATACATTGGAGAAGGTGAAAATGGTCCAATTAATTCATACCGTTATAATCCATATTCTTATTTCAATGAAGAATTAAATGCTATTGAAGAGGGACCGGATGGATTACCACGATATTCTAACCAGTTTGATGGTCAATATGCAAATATTAGACCTGAAATTTCAGCTAAGAAATTCTTTAAAGTTGCTTTATTCGATCCAGTTTTCGCAAATGTTAAAGATGAACTTAAACATTAATTCCAACCAATTATAGTAGCAAGAATTGCATCAGGTGCTTTATCTCAAGCATTCAAAGATTTAATTAAGAAACCATTATATCAGCAACGGGGTTTAACTTATGATTTAGTTAAGGAATCAGATAAAAGAAAATTTGAGAAATCAGATGATTATAAGAATGCAATTAATGAATATATTAGGTCTATTAATTACAATGAAACAGCTAAAAATCAACTTCAAGAACAAATACAGGGAATAATAGATTCAAAAGTTCCAGCAAAATAAAAGTTTAAATATATTTTTTTTATTCGAATATAAATGAGAAGACGTTTCACAAGTCAAAAGAACACAAACGCAAAAGCAGAGATTACGGTTGGTTATAACGTAAATGATGATAAATCACGAATTATTCAAAATGTTAAAGTTAATGTTAGCCCTGAATTAACAAGGTCAGCAACACAGTCCAATTTATTAACTCGTGACTTACCAAAGAAAGAGGAGGAGCAAAATAAAGAAGATGAAGACCCAATCATTTTATCTGAACCCGGTAAAGAACCCGTTGAAATCCCCACTTATCCAACATACCCCCCACCTCTTTCATCAAACATCGAGAACCCATATAAAATAGACATTAATTCTGAATTAATGAAAATTTACCGTGATATAATAATTAATAATTATGATTCAATAATAAATTTAATTGACCAATCTGGTTTAATTATTTTACCTTATGAATCATTAATTCACATTATCGCCATTCTTTGTGATGTTCAAGATTCAGACGTTAAGATTCAATTTTTCATAGATGATGAGGTTTCATGCTGCGGAACAGTTGCAAAAATAAATCCTATAAAGGATATTAGCACAATTAAGATATCAAAGAACGGAACAACAACTGAACTTCATTTAACATATAATAACATATACAATAAAATAGTTGATGAATATAAAATATCACTTGAAAAATTCTTTGTTAAGGCTATTTAATATTCAAGCATTAACATTATCGAATAATAATCCTTTGAATCATAATCAATAATAATTGACCTTTCACCAGTTTCTATCGTTTGTTTTATTTCTTTTTGTTCCCCACTATCCGGATCGGTCATTGTAATTGTTTTTGTTATAGTATCAGCTTTATCTTTAACTTCAATCTTTTTTCCATCGGGATATTTAAACCAAAATTCCAAAAATTCGATATTGTCAATCTGTTCATATTTTAATCTATCAATTACATTTTTAATACCATCTGAAAATCTTATGAAATGGTCATTATATGGGTTTGATTGAACTAAATTTGAATGAAGTGAAATATAACCTGTTGATGAATATGACACTGACTCATATTTTCTGAAAACACTAAAATTTATAACATGAATGAATTTCTTATTCGTTGAATTTATGAATTCTTGAGGTAATCTTATTCTAGTTTTATTTATCACTGGAAAATAACGCTTTACCATATTTTTAATCGTAATAAAAATGTCAATTATCAATATTATTTCGAATAATAACTGTGAATTAAATTTAACAGTTAGCGGAATTTATAATGTTACTCTCGTTTCTGTGAGTGGTAAATTTAATCCCATTCTTTTAGACCCTTCAGATTATATATCATTTATTAAAGATGACCATGAAAAAACGTATGATATGTATATAAATAATGTGATAGCGAAATGGGATATTAACATGATTTTAAGTTATTTAAATGAATCATTTATCGTATGGTATGAAGAAAATTTTAAATCAAAACCTGATAAACTTTTTGAACTTGATGAAATAAATAACCTTATTAAATTCCCGCTGAAAATTAAATTTTGTACTCCTCATCTTCGTTCATTGTTGGGATATTAAATTTTGAAAAAGATGTTGGGGATGTTTTGTATTCTGACACTGGTTCCAATTTCATTTTAATCAAATGTGATAAAGTTAATACCCCAATGAGATTTTCACACCAAACATTAGACCCTAACTCTTACCCATCAATACAAAACATTTTATCCATCAACTTAAACACATTTTCTTTATCATATCCGTTTCAATTATCTGGGAATTCATTTATTCTTCATTCAAAAGATTTATCAAATATTAAATTTAGAATAACTGACCTATTTGATTGTGATTTAGAATTCATGAATGAAATATTATGGCAATTTCAAATAGAAAAAATAGCTGATGAGATAACAGATTAAATATTTATTTTTAAATCATAATAAATGATTAAACAACAACAACTTAAGGCACAAAGCACCCAGGTCCTTCAGACCATTACATACGCCACATATGCATATAATTCAAAGACGGCAGAACAAACGCAAAGGTTGAAATATGGAGATTTGGAGATAGTATTGAAAAATGACCATTTCGAATTCGTTTGCAAAGGTGGTGCAGTGATATCAAATATAAAAGAAATTTTATTTATGAATTCAAAAATTAAAGGAATAACGGATGATATAACATCAATTCCACCAGAAGAACAGAGATATTACGCATTAAATGCATCTCCTAAAGTTTTGAAGATTGGAAGATTTAATTTAAATGAGGAATTCATAGAAGGTTTCCTAAATGACATAATGAAGAAGGTGGATAAGGAATACGTGGATAGTGAATTAATGAAGAAGGCAAATTTGGTTTATGTTGATGAAAAAGATAATGAAATTAAAGAAAGGGTTGAATGGTATCATGAATGGACATCAAAGATTTTAAAAACTAAAGCTGATACAGGATGGGTTTCAGGATGTTTAGACCTTAAAGCAGATAAGAACCATACACATAACTTCTTCTCAACTGTTGCTATAGAAAGTATTGAAGGAACGGTTGAAGGAACTGATGGGGATGCATTATATTGTAAACCTCCTAACTTTCCACAAGGTTTAACATCGAATGAAAACATAACAACGATGAAGTACATTAAATGTAAAAATGTTTATGTCATGGATGATGAAAATAAAGTTAAATTCACTGCTCAAGATTTATATGATAAGAAAGCAGACAAAACAGAGCTTCAAACATTAAAGACTGAAATACTTCAAACATTATATCCTGTTGGTTCTATTTATACATCAATGAACTCAACAAATCCAGAAACAGTTCTGGGTTTTGGTATGTGGAAGCAGATTGTAGATAAATTCTTATACTGTGCTAGATATTCAAAGCAAACAGGAGGTTCGAAGAAAATTAAAGAAGCAAACTTACCCCCGCACACTCATACAGGAACTACAAACACAACAGGTAATCATTCACATTCAATAACAAAAAGAGGTTATATAAATCTTGCAGCGGGTTCGGATAGATGGGGAATGAATAGATATGATATCACAACTGACCCAGTAGATTCAAGCACAGGTATTTCCTGTGGAACCGCAGGAAATCATTCACACACTTTCACAACAAATCCAACAGGCTCGGGTAAAGATTACATGCCACCATTTGTGACTGTATTCGCATGGTACCGTGTTCAATAAACACACTTGAGCCTACTTTGCAGGCTTACCGCATTCATTGAATGAACTAAATATATTTTATGTCTGTAATTAATTAGGTAATGAGTGTAAATGACCCAAAAATAATGTTTACGTTAAGTGACTCAAAAATAATGTTTAGGTGAAGAGGTGAGATTTCACCTAATTTTTCACCTCATTGAATTTACATGATTTCATCGTAATGAGTGTAAATGACCCAAAAATATATTTTATCGTTAATGTTTTTAGGTTATTCAATAATTAATTATTTTTGAAGAACTGAAGGGGTCACCAGGTCACCAGGTCACCAGGTTATTTAACTTCTCTGAAAAAATGAGACAACATGACATTTAGACAACAACACAGGAGGATTAATGAGGAAGGCAGTTATGACTTCATCGTAAATGAGTGTAAATCAGACAAAAATATATTTTATCGTTAATGTTTTGTGAAGAATATAGCAACCGTCTGAATTCCGGTGGTTGTTTTTTTATACAAAATTCTGAGTAAAATAATGTTTAGGGTAGATGGTTAGATCTAACCTCATTTCTAACCTCATTTCTAACCTCATTTCTAACCTCATGACATTTAGACAACAACACAGGAAATGATTTGTCATGACTTCATCGGAATTAGTGTAAATGACCCAAAAATAAAGTTAATTTTAAAATTATTTTTATTTTTTTATTCCTATATAAATGACAGCAACAAACAACAACAGCAACTTTATCATTTCTGATGAACAAGTTATTGATTCATTAGCTGAGGAATTAGTTGTGGCAGAAACTAAAACCCTCAACGAAAGAATTGGTGAAAACAAGATTGATTTACATAACTACCTCAAACATGATGGAGGAAGAGGAAGGAAAACTGGTATGGCTTTATTAGTAAATAAAATTTCAAATTTAACGATTATAGATGTTGATATCAATAAATCATACAATGATGAACTTAAAGAAACAGTTAGAAAAGATATTTTATCAAAACTTTCGGATAAAGATGTTATCGTTAAAACCGCTTCAGGAGGTCTTCACATTTATTGCAACACTAATTTCTTCTATTCAGTTTCGAACAGAATGATTAAATGTTATTCCTGCAATGATTATGATATTGATATCATGACTTCTATGGATGATTCAAAACGTTCTTTAGTAGTTATGGCTGATTCAAGAGTTCGCAAGAATGCAACAGAACCAATCAATACATACTCATTCATTCGTGGAAGTTACGATTCAACATTAACCAGAACAGTGAATGATATATTAAATGATTTGAATATTAAGGTAAGAGTTGAACAGAAGAATGAAGAAATAAAGACTATTATGAATGAAAACAAAGATGTAAACATTGACGATAAACTTGCCCAGAGCATAGTTGATGGTATCAGTGATTTTGAAGTACATAATGACGGTGGAAACATGAATTTGGAAAAAGAAGTTACATTATTCACACTGTTTCAAGCTATTAATTCGTTACCGGATCATTTAATTAATGAAGCATACGATAACGTTTATAACTTCTGCAATTTAACTGAAAATGCAAAAAGTAATTTTGAAAAAGCACGTAGTAGATATGCACATTTAATGACTTCTCCATTTGTTTTAGTGAAGATTCTAAAACTTTATCAAAAGGAATATTATGATGAATATGTTTTACCTTTATTACGTAAGCCAAAAATAACATTTGATATCAAACCTGATGACTCGTTTTTGATAACAGATATTAGACGCAAGGCTGAAAATCATCAGTATAAAAACAGTTCTGAAGTAATTGAGGATTTATCACGTGTAATCCGTTTTGTAGATTGTGGAAATAAATATTTCATTCAAAAGGACTATAATATCCACGACAAAATGAATCAAATATCATTCGTTCTTCAATCAAACATGAAAGAGTCACTCAAAATGATTAAATTATTTAAAGAAGAAGGTAAAACAATAACAGCATGGGATGTACTATTAAATCAATTATCCTCATTAACCGTTAAGGGTGTTTGCTTTAAATCTGATTCTCCAGATGTTTTCTCAACGTTTCAGGGTTATAAATACAACATTCTTGAAAAGCCTGATTACTCAAAAATTGAGATGTTTATGAATTTCATTAAAGAAGCCATTTGTGATAATAACGATGAAGTGTATAAATACCTTCTCGGCTGGATTGCATCAATGATTCAACATCCTGGAATCAAGAATGAAACAGCAATTATTTTGAAAGGACTTCGGGGAACAGGTAAAAACAGATTCACAGACATTATTTCTGAACTTCTCGCTGGTTATTCATGTAAAAACATTACCGAAATAGGTGAGCTAACGGGTAATTTCAACTCAGTAGTTGAAAATAAAATGTTTCTTGTACTTAATGAACTCAAGAATGTAGGTGAAGACAGACTCGCAAACTTCAACGCTTTGAAATCAATTATAACGGATAATGAGATTAGAATTAATGAAAAGAATCAACCCAGAAGAACTGCTCAGAATGTTGCAAACTTCATTTTCGTAACTAACAACGTCTACCCTGTCAAAATTGAAGTTGGAGACAGAAGATACGTAGTTTTAAGAGTTAATGGTAAATTCAAGGGTCAATTTGATTACTTCAAGAATTTGATGGATTCATGCACAAAGGAATTTTATGATAATTTACTAACATATTTTATGCAATATGACCTTTCATCATTTAATGTACGAATCATACCGATGACTGAAGCCAAACAAGATTTAATTGAATTATCAACAAATCCTTTAGATGTATGGATAAATACACATTATGATGAATTGTGTGCAGGTATGACGTGTAAAAATGCTCTATTCTGCAAACCATCAGACATGAAAGACAAAAACTTTCAAATGAGTATTAAGGATAAATGTGAAAGGAAACAAAGAAAAATAGATGGTAAACAGACATGGTATTATGTTTTGAAAGAAGAAATGAAAGGATTATATAAACAGGTTGAACCAAACGATAATGAGGATTCATTTACTGACGATGAAATACCTGTAAATGAAGCTTTATAAAGTATGATTGGAATTTATTTTTGCCTTCCTCCTGTGTTGTTGTCTAAATGTCATGTTGTCTCATTTTTTCAGAGAAGTTAAATAACCTGGTGACCTGGTGACCTGGTGACCCCTTCAGTTCTTCAAAAATAATTCATAACTGCCTTCCTCATTAATCCTCCTGTGTTGTTGTCTAAATGTCATGTTGTCTCATTTTTTCAGAGAAGTTAAATAACCTGGTGACCTGGTGACCTGGTGACCCCTTCAGTTCTTCAAAAATAATTCATAACTGCCTTCCTCATTAATCCTCCTGTGTTGTTGTCTAAATGTCATGTTGTCTCATTTTTTCAGAGAAGTTAAATAACCTGGTGACCTGGTGACCTGGTGACCCCTTCAGTTCTTCAAAAATAATTAATTATTGAATAACCTAAAAACATTAACGATAAAATAACTGATAACAAATTTTTATTTTTATCATAAATGGATACCCCACAAGCTCAAAATTTACCACGAATCATAACAAGGGAGGAAATGATAAAAATGATGCAAGAACATGTTAAAAATAACAAACCACTAAAATTGAGAAAATGCGGTTATGCAGTAATGATGGAAAGAGAGATGTTGTCGAAGAGGAATAAAAATTAAATTTGGATAGAGTTTAAAAATTCATCTTTATTAAATTCATCTCTTCCAATCAATTTATTTATTCTATTAAATTCTTTTATTTTTGCTTCACTCAGTTTAAGGATTGAACGGTAAGTTTCTAACTTTTCAATTATTTCTTTCCTCTCTTTATCGTTTTCAATTACTTTAGTTTTATGGGCATCAACCCCACCACATTGCGGCTTCTTTTTGTAATAGCATATTTTTGATTTAATTCTGTTTAGTTTCTTTTTATATTCATCGTCTGGACTCTTGGCTGCTTCGTTGTCACACATTTCTTACGAAATAAAAAAAATTAAATATTATTTAAATATAATGGAGTAATAAAATAAATCGGAATTTCTATTAATTTATTGTCAACTTCAACTAATGCATTGCCGTTAATATATCTAACAAATTCAGCTATTGTGTCAAATCTTCGTCTTCTTTTTGTCATTGATTTATCAGTTTTTCCATAATCGAGATGAATCAAAACTTTATCCCCTTGTTTAAAATTCATGAGCCCCGAATTAATTTGTTCACGTTTAACATCATTTAACCTTTCCATTGCTTTCTAATATATTCCCATTTCTTTTGAAATATCATTTTTCATTTCCACTGGTTTCATGTTTATAGTTCTATGCCATGTATTATTTGTAATAATATACTAACTGTTGTATGATGGAGTCATGATTTCCATCCAGTATATCTGACCGTTAACCCCTAACGCATCTCTAAGAGTTCTCATTACCGCATCAACTATTTTATTATGAAACGTATATGGAGAGGATGAGAAGAAAAAATTAATTTGTGGGAAATAATGAGTCATAGCTGCCTGAAATCCTTTATCACCATCACCCCTGATATTATCTACTCTTTCATGATCTAGTAAGTATTGAATAGCTCTTCTTGTTTCCTGTTCTGTTTTCCCTTTCACCGGAATGCAATATAAATATCTAGTGTTAATGTTAATGGCAAAAAATAAGTAACGTTTCCTTTGAATATTCCAGATGATCGATTTCGTATGAATATGGATATGGTGCAAATGAAGGGCGACTAAATTTTTCCTTTAACGGTTGAATTTTCGGGTCAATTGGTTTATTTAATATCTTGAAATCCTTTTTAAAATCTTTTTGCTTCTTTAATGTTTGAAATGGATATAATAAAGTGAATGATGAAGGATTAACTGAAGGAGGAGGCGGTACTGTCGTTTGGAGGGTTTGGTGTTGCAAGTTTTAATTTTATCTGCTTTGATTTTGGATTTCATTCCTTCCTTCATTAATTCTGGATGTATTCTATTCATTTGTTTTAAATATGCTGTATATAAAGGTTTGATATACTTTCCTGCTTCGAGTTTATGTTGAAGGATGA